GGCATCGAACATGCTGACCACCCCCACGGGGGTGGTCAGCATGTTCGATTACCCCCCTGTGCAAAATCCCAGCCCCCTAGCTCAAATTTTGCAAAAAATTGATAAAATCGATATCGATCGATAACGAAAAGTAGCCTATGACACGCTCCCTGCCCCGAAGTATATGTGTGCCAAGTTTGGTCCCGATCGGTTCAGAAATAAAAATTTCTATTCCGCACATACGTACAGACAGACAGACAGACATACATACAGACATTCAGCTTTATATATAAGATATGCATCAATTTTTTAAAAAGTCCAGACTGCATTTTCTCTGCTTCTCCCAACCAAGTGGATGCCCTTTTTCTTGGCAACAATTCTGAGTAGAACATGATTCATGAGAATATCCGCTTGTTACTTTGGAGTTGGCTTACCCTATTCAGTAATGCGTGGTGTACTTTATAATCTAACTGCTAAGGAAGAGCTCGAGAAACAGACGTCATATTTGTTTGAAGTGATTGTACTAATGTTTCATGTACCATCCCAACCACTTGACAGAAATTCAGACATTGGTGCCCTAAGTGCGAGATATATCAATAGTACACAAGGTGTCCCAAAAGTATGTATGCACTGTTTGATCGTTAATATCTCATTTCTCAAGAAGCCTTTCACCTTGCTTTAGGTAACATTTTGTATAGCTGGCTTCAACTTAGATCTGCATTGTAAAACGAATCACCCATCTCTCTTCATTACTGTAGGATTAGGGTAGAAACTTCAAAGAGGGTTTTGAGCAATGAAAGGCCATATTTTGCCTCAAAAAAGAAACAAAACAGCCTGAAAACTTCTACACTAGGCTAAAGAGTTGGTGATTTTGAGTTCAAAGTTTCCTACTTATTATGATGCTTCATTGAAGAATGCCAGGTAAGAGATAGCGGCCATTTTTTCAATGTTCCTAAAAAGTGCGGTTACACCGTTCAAAAAGCTTCGCAATCTTATGAATAGTCCAGTATTAAACTCAGCGTCCATAAAAACCCTATTACACAAGTTTTCACATTTTTTGAAAAATTTTGAAATGGCAGCTTTTCCCACAATGACACCATATCTTTCAAGTTTCTACCGTAATCCTACAGTAATGAAGAGAGATGGGTGATTCGTTTTATAATGCAAATCTAAGTTGAAGCCAGCTCTACAAAATGATACCTAAAGCAAGGCGAAAGACTTCTTGGGAAGAGAGATATTAACGATTAAACAACGCATAAATACTTTTGGGACACCTTGTACATCTAAAATTGTTGTCAATGGGACACCAAAACGTTAGGTAAAGAATTTGGGGGTTATTATTCTAGGTTGCGGATCGTTCTAGAGAACAATAGCACCACGATATATAAGAGGTGTATCGGACGCATTTCAAGAATTATGCTAGTGCCGTAATGTAAATCGCTGATGATGATAATATTTGCGACCAGGGTCAAGCGTGTTGATGCGATCCGGGACCCTCATTTACGACCCCCCCTTAAAGGTACCCATCCGTACGACCCCCCCTCTGTTCCCCCCCCCCCACATTCCCCCATTTATCCCCCTTACCTCCCCTGTCCACTTTCCTCGCGGTAACCTGCATAAACGAATGTCAATCTCAAAAAACACCTACGTGAGAACTTCAGTGAGGTTTCGGAAGCAGAATTTCTAGGCCAATGGGTGCGTCCAGCATCTGTAGCACACATACACACCTTCAATAATGTTTGAGAATTTGCAAGTTTTTTCTGAATTTTCAGGCATACTTCAGACCAGCAAATTCAATTCCCGTAGGCGACACAAATTTTTGCATGGAGAAAAAAATGACATTCTTGAGCAACAAAAGATGTTTTCGACTAAGAAGCTTACTTCCTACCTCTTCCACAGTTTTTCCCGCGAATAAAACCGCTTGAGCGCCGTCCAAAACGACGTTAAAAACGCAAATGAGCACGGTAGTTTGAAAATTCGTAACTAAGGCCAGGGAAAGACTGAAACGCTGCAAGGAACAGGTTCTGTAGTATGGTGCCCAGGCTATCCATAGAAAAAGTTCCAGCTTTTGAGGAGCAGTAAGCTCGAAAAAGTTTAGATGCGACTCTCGCAAATTTAGATGCGATCCTAAAAAGCAAAAACTTGGATTTTTGACTTAAAATTTTGTAACTTACCAGAATAGTTATAAAACAGCCTGCAATTTTTACGAGAGAAAATAGGAGAATGGCCTCATATTACAGCAGAATTGCAGCCAACAAGCTTCAATAGCTTCGAAGAAATTTAGATGCGACCCAGATACGACCCCCCTTTCCTGATTTTTTGCTACCATACATAAATTATAAGAAAATCCACAGTTGACAAAATAACACCAAATTTTGCACTGATGTAGCGGAGCATCTCCGAAGTACAGATAAATCATATGGGCCCGTGAAAAACATTACAAAAAGATTTAGAAATTTATGATGGTCGCAGGTGGTAAAGATATTTGCTTTTGTCAAGTGTGTGAGACTTTAGGAGGGCTCAAGGACAATCGGTACATTTGGCATTTTTATCAAATCACACATTCTTCAAAAGTGTTTTGAGCTCCAGTAATTTTTTTTGAGAGTTTCTGCAAATTTTTTATCATTTTTATTCTGATTTCCGCTTTTTTATATATTAGGTTGGTGCAAAAGTCTTGTCAGTTTTTTCAATCCGTCGGCAAACACGCTAGAATGAAAATAAACAAACACTTCAAAATGTGTCCGATGCAGAATTTCTTCCTCTTTCCAGCTGCTAAAAGAGTGACGAGATATTTGCTGGAAACTGCAACCACTCATTTTTACCATGTCCAAAGTTCGCTAATTTTCAAAATTTTTCTATGAGACTTTCCGAGGAGCCCTAATAACCAGCAGATAGGGCAAGCCTTTTGCCATTAGAAGCAATTTTTTTCTTCTTTTCAGCTGTTTTTTTAGATTTTTGCTAAATGATTTTCTAAAAGTCTTGTGTTTTGAAAAAATCGCACAACCTGTTATTGCACCAAACACTGCAAAACCTACAGGATACTGAGGTTTCAGCACTCGATTATTACTATTGATACCATTATAAAGTAGATAAGCGCTTTTCGCTCAAATTATGAAGATTTTGAAACATAGGATACGTCGGGGCGCACTCCTAAAATTGAGAAATACTGCGATTTTCCCAAAAAGTTTCGCCTGTCTCGGCAAAAAAAGAATAGTCTTGGAAGGAGGAGAAAAAGTTGCATCGATTGGTGACTGAAGTGTTTAACATTTTTTGTTCTACGAGGTTAAAATAGACTGAATGTAAAATTTGGTCACTTCAAAAATTAAATCGTAGAAATTTTGAAGGACAAGCCGTAGGGCTACAAAAATTGTTTCTGTTGGCAAAAGGTTTGCCCTATCTGCTGGTGTTAAGGTTTCTTTGGAAGTCTCTTAGAAAAATTTTGAAAATTGGCGAAAGTTGGACATGGTAAAAATGAGTAGTTGCAGTTTCCAGCAAATATCTCGTCACTTTCGCAAAGCAACACAATGTGAGTTAAACAACTGGAAAGAGGAAGAAATTTTGCATCGGAAACATTTTGAAGTGTTTGTTTATCTTCATTCTAGCGTGCTTGCCGATGGTTTGAAAAAACTGACAAAACTTTTGCACCAACCTAATATTTATTGTAAGGAGCATAACTAATTATCTGCTTTTTGATTCACTTTTAAGCTTAGGGTATTTTAGCCTAACTACCTTCTCTTACGACCCCCTTCCCCCCACCTTAGGTACCCTCTTTACGACCCCCCGTTGCGACAGTCGCATCACTCACAGCTTGACCCTGCTCGCGACATCGGAATGTTCAGCGACTATATTCGGAATGTTAAGAAATTAGGGATATGGCCATGGGGTCAATGTTCTCAATCTTTGTTTTTGTGCATGATGGTGTTCGGATAAGAAAATTCTAGTTTCAGCATGTAATAAGACGATTTTAGGTAGGCATGTGGAAAAGCTATGAGAGTCTTAAGAAAGGAAAAATATGTTTGATTACCCCTTTGCAAGTTCGCTTTTGGTATGGGTAGTTTCGCGTTCGAAGAAGTGATATTAGAGTGAGGTTGCTCTGTATGCTTACCCAAATTGATATCGACTTAATTCAGCTCAAAATCAGTGTCTCACCAAAATCTAATTGCCGAGAATTTTGCATTTTGGAAGCCTATTGGACCCTGTCTAGCACTGTATAGGCTTAAAATTGCACAAAGTTCCTAAAAACCCCGTTTTCTGGAGGCCCCGCGGAAGCAACGTGGACAAGTTGTACCTCCCAACTTCAGCCTCAGCCACAGTGGCAGCTACACAGGGGAGGTGGATGCCAAGTGGAGGCACATGTTCAAACGCGTAAGGGGGGAGACCGAAGGAGTCGTCCGCGCGTACCAAGTCGCTCTCCGCGTACCACTTTGAGCGACTTTGAGCGAATTTTTCTCAGCGTGGAGGGGGTCAAATGAGTGGGACTTGTTGCAGTGGCCTATTTAGAGGTCCCTATAATAGAATATGTGAAGATTTGCGCGACCTAACTTTGGTGAGACACTGCCTTCAAAGGTCGAATTTGGTGCACCATGTGAGCGGGAAAGATACGATACGCTGGAGTCATGTTTTTTTGACAATTTGGGATTCAACAGAAAAGTAGAGTCGCTTGATTATTCAGTTAAGGTAAGCACCTATAGCTCTTTATTGAATTAAACTCATATCAAACGAGTAGAATACAAATTTAGGAAAAAAATGGAAATTCTTGTGAGATCATGAAACTGAAAAGTGCAGAAGAATATCCTATACGTCTTTTTAGGAGTCGTCTCCAAATACATTTCGTCAAAACGGTTGAAAGATTTGTTTTTTATTTACAACTGCATAATACCGTGGTCTTCGGCAACAATCTTTCACTAGATTTTACTCATACCAAACTTTGCTCCATTAATGAGTTATTAAGTTAAACAACATCACAATCCTACTTCGTCAAAACTAATCTTCTGGCTTCAAATGTCACGAATATGCAGATCTCACTGTCGGAGTTCACCATCTTCGAAAAACACTCCACCGTCTAATGCACAGTATTTTGGACAAATACCCTTCTCGCCTGCCAGTCCCTTCTTTCCCGGCTGTCCTAAAGGACCTGGTCTGCCAGGTTGACCAGGCGTCCCATCTCTCCCAGGAGGACCCTTGGAGCCAGCATCACCTATAAAATCTCAGCTGTTTTGTAATCAGTCAAGACACGAAAATTTACCGATATTCCCATCTAAACCAGGATCTCCAGGGAGCCCCTTTTGGCCTTGCGGTCCAGGCAATCCCATCGGACCAGGAGGCCCAGAACGCACTTCGTTGTCGCAGGACATGCCTAATTCATAAGGTGTCGAATATGTACAAACTGTTCGATGTTAACGATAGTTTTGTTTTAATGTTTTTTCTCCCCCCCCCCTCATGCATAAACAGTTCATAGCTGACACTTTATAGACTCACAGGCGGACTAAAGACTGCTATTTGGGTTGTTTCATACTGCCGCACTGACCGCAGCAGACTGCAGCAGATCGCACTGACTGCAACGGCCGCTTAGCATGCTGCATTTTTCGTAAAAGAGGAAACAATTGCGATTACGTCAAAATACCGTGATTTACTAAGAAGTTCATGAGTTCTAATTTACTCTTTCCAATCAAATTTAGTCGTCGCCTGGTCGGTCGCCTCATCGTGGCGTGGGGGTGACACTGGGTGTCGAACTGCGATGCACAGCCGAGTGCATACTCTGGTAGGGCCTCCCAAGCTGTGAAGATGTTCGACGTTTCCGGTTTTGGCCGGATGCCTAGCTAAGAACCGGTCACGCCAGATCCCCCGTCTGGCTTTTTGTGGTCGCTAGGTGGTCCCTCCCCTCCCCACATCCGAGTTTAGCGAACGCCTCGTGGAAATCAAGAGTTGGTCTAATAAGTGTGCTCTTGTAGGGAAACATTTTTATTAGTCGATCAGCAAAAAGAAGAGAAATAAACCTGCACATCGGATCCCGCCTAGGGCGCCGAGTTATAGCAAGAACGATGTCAGAATACTCAGGGCGCCTTTTGGATTGGACAAAAACGACACTCTGCCCGGACGACACGCCATGGAGACTGCCTCATCCTCTGCACCAAAACGCCATTTCAGTCTTCACAAACGCCGACCTCCACGCTCTTCTCGACGCTGCAGAGCACATCAAGTACCACGTCATCGCTCTAGAAACGAAGTTCAGGAAGAAGGACGTGGGACAGATAAGTGATGGGACCCTCATCATTTGTGATGAAAAAGTTCCATCACGAAACGTGGGAGGCGTCGGCTTTGTCGTCCACCCATCAATCGTCCATCTTGTCGATTCGCACAAGATCCTATCAGCCCGATTAGCCATCGTACGACTACCCTCCACGTCAGAAGACCATTATCATCATCAACTGCTGCTCTCCAACATCAGCAGCTGATGACTCAGAACTAGATGCTTTCTAGACGTGGAGCAGGTCGTCCGCAACGAGAACTTTTATAAGTTTGTTGTGGGCGACTTCAACGCGAAGATCGGGATGCCACTAGAAGAGGAATACAGGATCGGAAAGTTTGGATATGGGCTTCGAAACAAAAACGGCAACCGTCTCGTTAGACTTCTCTCCGCCGCACGACTTTTCCATGGAAATTCCATCTTCATGAAGAAGGAACATCGCTGGTGGACTTGGGGATTACCCAACGGAACGACTCACGCGGAGATCGACCACATTCTCACCAACCGAATGTGAAGCTTGCTCATGTCTAAGTAGTTCCATCATTCTGCAGTGGCTCCAATCACCGTCTCCTTCAAGCGAAGATACAATTCAGTCGCAGGCTGGAAGAGAAAGTCTGTCACAGTACCGCAAGAAGGAAGAAAGTCGTTTATGACGGTAACAGGCTAGAAGAGCTCATATCAAGTTGTGACTCCCATCGAGGAAGACTCAACGTACTACTACGACCCGCTTCTGAAAGGATGCGGGCTTGCGGAGAGTGTGTGACTTCTGATAAGAACTTGGAGCTCATTTCGAAGACCACCAAAAAAAGAAATGCTTGAATGAAGGAGATCTCTGAGGCAGGATCCGAATGCAACCCATCTCGAGCGACTGATAGCCAACGCCAGTTGCAGAACAGCTTTGAATGAAGATCTCAGGAAGCACATCAAGCCAAGATACTGGAGGCAGCCGAAGGAAGAGGGAGTCTCAAGAAGTGCCGAAGGGACCTCCGTGAATATCACGTACCGCTGGCTGCACTATTAAACGAAGACGGGAATCCGATTTCTTCCCGATACAAGATGGGCCTGCTGAAGTGCGCACGGCGATTCAGACCATGAAGACATCCAAGGCTCCAGGACCAGACCATCTTTCCGTCGAATTCTTGCGAGCAGGAGGACAACGTCTACACAAAATTCTCGCGTCGCACCTGACATTTTACCTTCAGAAGGAGAAAATTCCCGACCAGTGGAGAACATCAAGAACCGTCCTTCTCTTCAAGAAAGGCGAACGGGAGGATCTTCGGAACTACCGTTCAATATGCCTGCTGAGTGTGCTCTACCAACTTTTCGCGAAGATTATCCTCGCTCGCATATCTATGACACTGGATGAAGCCCAGGGAAGGGGGTTTGACAAGGTGACACTATTTCGCCGAAGCTGTTCACCTTGCAGTGGGTGATGAAGTCACTGGACTGGGACGAGAGAGGCATACGAGTTGATGGGAGCGTTTTGCGGACGACATCGTTCTCTTCTCGAGCAGTATCACCGAAGCAGAGACGATGCTGAAGGGACTAAACGAAGTAGGGAAGAAGATAGGACTGCGAAATCGGAAGAAGACCCAGTTCCATGAAGAACGCCCTTTGCGAAGATGCAGAATTGGAATTGAAAGACAGCCCCACCATAGAGACGTTTTCTTACGTGCATCTCGGACGTTCGATGAACATGGAGAATGGAGAACGACGTGAGGGAAGAACTTAACAGAAGAAGAAGAGCTGTCTGGGCCGTTTCGGGCCCCTGAAGGGAGCCTCCGACCAAATGACGGACCAGGAGCTTAGTGCTCACCTGTTCGACTCAACCGTTCTCTCAGCGCTCTGCTACGCAGCTGAGACTTGGGCTGACACAGTAGCCACGTCGAAAGCCTTACGGACCACCCACAGAGCGCTCGAGCGCAGTTTTCTGAAGTTGACCCGACACAAGCAACATCTAGTCCGATTTCGCAGTACGGATATGAGAAAAATGTCCCGTCTTTGTTACCCAGCGGAATACATTGCGAAAGCGATACACCGATGGGCCGGTCACATTATGAGAAGAACAGACGACAGATGGACACTAAGAACATTTAAGTGGATTACTCGCGAAACCAAATGTCCCCGAGGAAGACCACCAACGAGATGGGCAGACGTGTTCGTGGAACAGATGAACCAACTGAGAAATCAGCTGGATACGATAATCGCACCTGGAACTCCTGAGCCGCCACCGACGGCAACCAAGAAGATGTGGAAAAAACGAAGGGGAGGGACAAATTGCAACTTTTGTGCTGGAGTCCGCGCGCCACGTGAAGACGGCCATTTAAGTATCTAAGTATCTAGGTAAGTAATCAAATTTTGGCGATTGGTATTCTTTGGTATGCTCATATTGGATTTCTCCTATTATTGCATGCACCTGTTTTGTAGTCAAGGCGTATATTGTTGTTGATTGTTTGAGCTACAACTAATCATACTCTCCACTTTTACGAAAGGATGCAGCGATCTGTGCGGCCGTTGCGGTCAGTGCGGTCATGCGGTCTGCTGCAGTCAGATGCGATCAGTGCGGCAGTTTGAAACTTACCCTTCGTTATTGAGAGTTAACGATGGGAATGATCACGGTTGCTTTCATGCATGTAAATCTTTGTATATACAGAAGTCAAAAATTGTCCGTTGAAGGGCATGTTGGAAGAACTACCGTGGCTGAATATTGAGCTGAGACTTTGCACATAGATATTTTCGACCCCAAAGACGGTATCGCGGATCGCGATCACAAGAGATACCCTAGAAAGACCGATGCTTTTCGATGTAGAGTAGAAATGTATTTGTAATGTATTGTTTGTTTATGACATTCTATGTATTCTTAATTCCCAATTTGGGAAATGTTCTTCTTATTCTCGTCTCGACCATATGAAGCTGTACGACATTCATGTGGACGGCAGTCGACATACAGCACACTGAGCCGCCGATATAACGGTTTTGAGCTACTTTTTACGAAAATTCGTTGAGTCCTTCTATCGTCTGGATTTATTTACTGACTTTTGGAAAGATGAAAGTTTGCAGTGATTATTTACCAGTGCTTCACCGCTTCGCAGTGGCTCGCACTGGTTTTACTATCCGTAGCCTTACTCATTCTACATTGGAACTCAACGAGCTTTGCGGACTATCACGAATGTTTTGTAAACAACTATTCATTGCAAAAGTTTTTCCATATGAGATCGGTAATTTCGCGTGAACGCAACTTCTCCCAGAAGACAAATGCAAATTTGAATCGGGTTTCTGGACTTTTCATGGCTTGGTATCGCCATAACAATAATTACCATGGGCTACATCTCTGTGCAGAAATCTTCTCAACTAGACGACTAAAATCTTGGCAAATTGAGCATTTACTAGGTAATCCTTTATGGCGCCGTTCTAGCAAAATGATGAACTTCAGTTCAATTCTTTAGGCTAAAGTCGATGGCTTGCAGATTGACTTGTCAAACATATCCGTGACTTTGCAAAAAGTTATGATACAGGCTCAATTTCACTAGCCAAAAGTCAAGTGGATCCGATTGACGCGCATTATATGGGAGATCCACACAACGGATCCGCTCGTGCTTTTGTATAGTGGACTCTCACGTTGGTAGCATGCGCTGCGAAAATTTGGGTTCAAGAGGTTGGCTGGAACATGTTGCACGAATTTCGGCACACACACGTACACACACACACTCACACACACATACACACACATACACACACATACACACACATACATACACACACATACACACACATACATACACACACACATACACACATACACACACATACACATACACACACATACACATACACACATATACACACATACACATACACACACATACACACACATACACACACATACACACACATACAGACATACACACACTCACACACACACACTCACACTCACACTCACACTCACACTCACACTCACACTCACACATACACATACATACATACACATACACACACATATACACACATACACACACATACACACACATACACACATACATACACACACATACATACACACACATACACACACATACACATACACACATACACACACATACACACACATA